AGAAGGAGAAAATGGAGGAAGAAGGAAGGAAGGAGAAAAGGGAGGGAGGGAGGAAGAAGGGAGAGAGGAAAGAAAGAAGGAGAAAATGGAGGAAGAAGGAAGGAAGGAGAAAAGGGAGGGAGGGAGGAAGAAGGGAGAGAGGAAAGAGAAGAAAGGAGAAAAGGGATGGATGGAGGAAGAAGGGAGAGAGGAAAGAAAAGGAGAAAATGGAGGAAGGGAGGGAAAAGGGAGGGAGGAAGAAGGAAGGGAGAGAGGGAACAAAGAAGGAAGGAAAGGAAGGAAGGAGAAAAGGGAGGAAGGAAGGGAAAAGGGAGGGAGGAAGAAGGAAGGAAGGGAGGAAAGAAAGGAGGAGAAAATGGAGGGAGGAAGGAGAGAAGGAAAGAAGGAATAGACAGAAATAAAAACCCAAAGGGCAAATGGCTGCAAGTGGTTGTGTCAAAAGCCCACATCCCCCTTTAAAGAAAGCGGAGCCATTTTTAAATGCTATTATTTCTATAGCTCAATCTGGGCGGGGGGGGGGGGGGGGGAATGCTAGCTGGGGAATGCTGGGAGTTGAACTCCACAAGTCTCAAACTGGCCCAGGTTGGTCTGAAGTCGGAATGAAAAGCACACCAAGAGAAGCCAGGTACGGCTTTACCTTCCACGCGATCTCCTCCTCCTTGTCCTCCAGGCCGTTGTGGATGTAGAGCACGTCAAAGAAGAAGTAAGGGCAGTGCAGCATTTTCTGTGGGGCGGGAGGGGAGAGCAGGGAGATCAGGGGGGGGGAGAGAATCTCAGCCCTCCAGCTGTCCCCCCCTTCCCCTCCCCTCCCCTCCCCCCATTCCTTTCCCCGCAGCCAGCAGTGGGATCTCCTTTCTGCCTTAATATTTTGCTTTTTCCATGAAATAAAACAGCATTGACGAGTCTTCTTCTTGGGCATCACGCCCTGTATTGGATTTAAAAAGGACTCGAAACTTTTGGCAGGGCACGGGGCCAATCTTAGCCCCCATGTCCTAGCAGACCCCCCCCCCCCCATTTTTATAAAGCCTTAGAAAGGCCACACCTGGAACACCTGCATCCAGTTTTGGTCACCACATTACAAAAAAAGATGTTGAGAGTTTGGGAAAAAGTGCACCACGCTGCTTCCTAAGTATCTGGATGTTAAAATTTGAAAAATTAATAAAACTTGTTTGTTTGTTTTTTAAAAAAAAGAGATCCCTTCCCGCTCTATTCTGATGGATTGAGGATCCTTTGGATCGACTGACAACTCTCCCCCGGCAGAGTGCCTCCACCCTCTGTGGTAGGGCAATGCGGTTCCTGGCCTGTCAGAAAGCCAGAAACACACACACACCCGACACACACACACACACACACACACACACACGACACACACACACAACTGTATCTCCTAGAAACGGCTGCATAATTCAAGAGTCTTGCTCTCCGGTCACCTCTGTTCGCTGGGATCTGGAGATCCGTCTACCTGACACTCTGGGTGCTCCTGAAAACTGTCTGCCTCCCCGCCCCCCCTGCCCCCAGGAGCCGGGGCCCTCGTGAGGTCAAGGAAGCGGGCACCTTCATCTGCTCGGTCAGCACGGCAGGCGGCTGGCAAGCCGGGCGGCTGTAGACCAAGATGGTCCTGA